TGACAGTAACAGTCAGGAATCTCTCTCTCTCTCTCTCTCTCTCTCTCTCTCTCTCTCTCTCTCTCTCTCTCTCTCTCTCTCTCTCTCCGACTCTCCCCGGGGCTTCTTTGTTTTTCATTTTTTTATTTTTTTTTTTTGCAGAAGAATTGTCATTTCTTTTGTTTTTCTTTGTTTTTTTTTGTTTTCTTTTGTTTTCTTTTGTTTTGATGTGTACCTACCGGTAGCCCGAGGTTCGGCAGGGTTTGGGATACCGGTAGGCTGAGCCACGGGCCTTGACAACCGGCAGGTACTGGTGGTTTAAGTTCTGGCCGACAGGGCCCCTTGCTATTGGGCCATCCATTTGGGGTCTGATTCGTAAAGGCCCTTTTAGATATGACACACGGGGGTGGGGGCAGCCGCCGCTCAAACCTACATCCACGTGGGCGGCCTTGTACGCAAGAGGTTCTGAACAGGAGGGAGTTATAAGGAAGAAGATAAAAACTGAATTCATTTTTCCCTGTTTTTCTTTCTTTTTTTTCCTTCTTTTTTTTTTTGCATTTGCGCTCTGATATTCTTGTGACAATATATAGTCGGTGAAACTCCGACGAAACAGTTTGTCACAGCCCCTCGTTTGTTGTCCTCTTCTCCCTCTCTGCCTACGGTTTACCGGGCAGTTCTATTTGACGATATATATATGCCTATATATATATGCCTACGGTTTACCGGGCAGTTCTGTGACGATATATATATCGGAGTAGAACGATGATGGTGGCACGAGGAGGGAAGTCTTTGCCATCCCATATGGCAGGTCTCTCTGGATTGGGATCCGAGTTCGACAAGCGGGAGGGAAAGAAGAAGAGTAATAAATGAGTAATCGTAGGGGAAGAGAAAGTAGCAGATTGGAAGGGGTAGTGGTCGCACCACGTGCAATGTCACGAGCAACGTGGAATGCCACATGGAATGCCACAAGTCAGTCCCAAGTGGAATGCGACCTGTGGAATGCCACGTGGAATGCCATGTCGAATGCGTGCTGGAATGCCACGTGGAGTGCGACATGCAATCCCATGGGATGCCACCAGCAATGCGGAATGCCACGTGTAATGCCACATGGAATGCGTGCGCAATCGGAGGAGAATGAAAGAAAGGACGAATAATAATCAGTGTTGGAGGGGGTTCTGGTGAGGATCTTAAGATTCTCTTTGTCATTAAAAATGGTGCAGAAGAAGAAGAAGAAGAAGAAGAAGAAAGAAGAAGAAGAAGAAGAAGAAGAAAGAAGAAGAAGAAGAAGAAGAAGAAGAAGAAGAAGAAGAAGAAGAAGAAAAGGAACAAGGACAAGAAATTGCGTTTTTACATTTTCTGTTTTGCATTGATAATTTCTAATTGCTTTTTTTTTTTTTTAACAATTGTTACGGTACGGCGGTTTTCCACGGCACGTGTTTCTGGCCGCCACTTGCGCCGCCGCTTGCCTAGTGTGAAGAACACCAAAAAAGAAAAGCGGTGAGCGAATCTGTCCAACTTCTAGCTCAAGATCCACTCGTCGTTTGACACTTTTGGGAGAGTAGTGCCAGCAAGGCTTGCCTAGTGTCAAGAACACCAAAAACGAAAAGTGGTGAGCAAATCTGTCCACCTTCTAGCTCAAGATGCACTCGTCATTTGAGACTTTTGGGAGAGTAGTGCCAGCGAGCCATCTTTCAGTGAACAGGATGATATGGGGAGTAGGAAGAAGAAGAAGAAGATTTTGAAAGGAAAGATGGTTGGCGGAGGAAGAAGAATTTGTCCACCTTCTTGCTGAAGATTCACTCGTCCTTTACATCTCCTTCTCATCACTCGTCTCCTTCTCCATCATTGTTCCTTCATGCCATATTGCTGTCACGAAGCTGTCACGCAGCACGATGGAGAATCACTCATCTCCTCCTCCATCATTGTTCCTTCATGCTGTCACGAAGCTGTCACGCAGCACGATGGAGAAGATGGGGGACGGTGGAGGAAAACCTTTTCCTCCTCCCCGCTGCTGTTGCGCACACAGTACGCAATCATCGTCTGTTCTCCAGTCAATCTGTTACTTCCAACCAGCCATATGACCCATCAGCAATGGAAGACGTCAGTAGGCGTGACGTATAGCTCAGGCTGTTGAGGAGTATGCCCATCTTCTACTCTTCCTCCTTGTTTGCCATCCTCTTTGTCGTTTTCCCTTTTCTCCTTTCTTCTTCAACAGTGTGTTTGCGAACGTGCGTGAGAGAGAGAGAGGTGTGTGTGTGTGTAGGAGAGAGAAAGAGGTGTGTGTGTATGTGTGTCTGTGTGTGTGAGACAGAGAAAAAGAGAGGGAGAGAGAAAGAGGTGTGTGTGTG